TTTTCCTCTTATGTAAATGGGATCATTTAATATATATCCCTTTATGTGTGACTTATAGGAGCCATGGTGGTACAGTGGGTAAAGTGCTCAGCTGATAACCAAAAGGTCAGCAGTTCAAACCCACCAGCTGCTCCATAGGAGAAAGATGTGGCAGTCTGCTTCTGTAAAGATTGACAGCCTTGGAAACCCCATGGGGGCAGTCCTGTCCTGTCCTGTAGGACCTTTGTGAGTGGGAATCAACTTGGCGGCAATGCATTTGGTTTGGGTTTTTGATATGTGACTTCTTTAGTTCAACTGTGTTTTTGTGAAATTCATCTTGTAGTGTATAAAAGTGGTTCATATTTATCGGTATGTAATAGTTCTATAAATATACCATGTATCCATTTACGTGGTGGATCTTTGGGTTATTTCATGAACATTTTTGTATATGTCTTTTAGTGTACTGGTACACTCATTTTTGTTGGGTGTTTAGGAAGGAGTGGAATTGCTTGGTCATAGGGTATGTGCCTTTGTTCAGCTTTCCAGAATGTCGCTGTCCTCTCCCAGCAGTGGTGTATGAGTCTGTATCCTCATTAGCATTTGCTACCGGCAGTCCTCAAAATTTTAGCCATTCTGGAAATGTGTAGAGGTATCTCATGTGGCTTTAATGTTCATTTCCCAGATGAGTAATGAAGTTAAACATATTTTCATCTGTTTATTTGCCATTTGGTTACCTTCTCTTGTGAAATGCTTTTTCAAGTGTTTTATCCATTTTTCTTTTGAGTTCTTTTATTGTGGATTTGGAAGATACTTCATATATAAGTTCTCTGTTAGTTATATTTATTTTAAATATTTTCTTTCACAACTTGCACGTTCACTTTCTTAATAGTGTCTCAGTGAATTGAAACTCCTAGTTATAACATGGTCCACTCTCAATGTTTTTCTTTACGGTTATTGCTTTTTTTATGTTCTGTTTACAAAATCTTTGCCTAATCCAAGGTCATGAAGTTATTTTCTTTTGGAAGCACTGATTCTCCTTCCACATTTATATCAACAGTCCCAGGGGAATTTTATTTTTGTTACGTGGTGTGAGATAGGAGTCAAGATAATTTTTCCCCATTTGGATATCCAGTTAATTTAGCACTGTTTATTGAAAAGACCAACCTTGCCTCACTACTTGGACAGTACATGCCGCTTTTGTCTTAGATCACAGTGCCTTTGCTGGTAATCATAGCCCAGTTGCTTTTTCAAGTTAATATCTGTCGATCTTGTACACTGTAGTAGGTAGTTTTTGTGATTATGCATCCTGTAGTTTATATTATATATGCTTTTTTGCCCAACAGTGTTATAAACTCCTTGAATTAAGACTATCTTTCAGTTCTTCAGTATTGTCCGCAGTACATATTCTAATGATGGGCACACAGCACTTGGTTGATATTTTTTACTGTCTAAATGGTAGGAAATACAAGGAAAGGAAGTTACATAATCCAAGGATAGTAGAATAGTGTGTATAATTCAAGGAATTATAATTTTTGTAAATTATTGTAAGAGAAGGTAATCAAGGTCAGTATATTTTTATTCGATTATTTTTATCGTGATTAATAATTTGTAACTTGAATGGTTGAAACTTTTGAGTGTATGAGAATATTTGATCAATCTTCCCCTCTGCCCTCTTTTTGTCTCTAGGAGCTCATGGGACACATGTAGCTAGTATAGCTGCTGGGCATTTTCCAGAAGAACCTGAACGCAACGGCATAGCTCCTGGCGCTCAAATTCTTTCAATCAAGATTGGCGATACAAGACTAAGCACAATGGAGACAGGCACGGGCCTCATCAGAGCTGTGAGTGTTTGTGAGTCGTCGGGGTAGAAGATTAATGATTGATAATCTTGGGTATTTTTAGGTTTATAC